CTACCGGGGATGTGCCCGCAACCAACATACATGCCCCTGACCGGAATCGAACCTAGGACCTTTCATTCCGCAGACTGACGCTCTACCACTGAGCCAAACCGGTTTCGGCCTAATAGATGTTTTAAAGCCAATTGCCCGAGTTCACTTCGCTGCTTCACCACTTGCTACTTGGGTATTTAACTTTTTAAAATTGATTTTTAGGAAGGGAGAGAGAGAAACATCGATCAACTCTCTCCTGCACATGCCCCGACCTGGGATTGAACCTGCAACCTGGGTATGTGCCTGGACCAAGAATCGAATGGCCACCTTTTGGTGCATGCGACACTGCTCCAACCACCTGAGCCAGACCGGCCAGCACACTACTTGGATGTTCTGCTTTCTACACTTCAGTCTCCTGTCTATTAAACTGGATAACAATACCACTTCACAGGGTTATTGTGAGAATTGGGTTAACTAGTGCATAGAAAGCACTTGGAACAGCTTTAATAAGCCCTTGGTAAATAGCTAAAAAGGGTGAAGGCAACATAATACATATTCAGATATAAAGGTCTTTACATAGCTCTGTTCCATCTTTGTTGTACAAAATATGAGGAAGTCCATTTAAACTGAGATTGAGAATAGATTTGTAAAAAATGCTTGCCCATCAAGAAGTGCACATACAAAAAAAAAAAAAAAAAAAAGTGCACATACTTACCGGGGTGAGTGTTCTCTGTAGAGGGCGGTAAGGCATGGAGCACGTTCTCTTCTTGAGTTAGCCTATGAATGATGCTAAACGGGGGAAAACGCTGAAACATTAGGGTTGAATCAGGGCTACATGATCACCTACCTTGCCCAAGAAACGGACTGCAAACTAAAGAAAGCTCAGTGCTCTGTTGAAGATCTTACAACAAGTAGTAGCCATTATCTATTAAAAACAGTACCCGAAGTTTTGGTAACTGTTTCCATTTTCAGCACAGGAAGCACTGAAGCAATGGCAAGAAATCAGAACACATTTGTCGCAGAGATACAGACTTGTCTAGATTGAGCCATGACCAGGACCCAGATTTAAAAGCTTTCATATTATTTCCATTACCTTTGACTTCAAGAAAATGAATTAACAGTATGACATCACATCATGTAGAGGTGGTATATACTTGAAGATGTATTTACATCTTCAAGTTGCCCCTTAACCATCTCTGCTTATTCTTTGGTCTGACCCCTCAGCAGACTGCCATTCCCACTCCTGGACCGCGTGAAAGGGGTGATCTAGGCAAACGGGTTTAACCATGTGTTAACCAGGGACATTCCAATCAGATTCACCCCTTGGTGTTTTTAAGTCACAAAGGGGAAGTGGCTAAGGCTCAGTGAACCGGAAGTAGAGAGGCAGAGGGAATGGCGGCTGAGGCTCCATCCAGAACAGCCTCCCCGGTTCCTGTATTTTCCCGTCGTGCCGTCTGAGATGTACATCCTTAAACGCCCTCTCACGCCTCCTCCTTTTCTCTTCTGCTGGTTAAACAGAATTTTTGTTTATAATCAAACAATGCCTGGCTAAATACATGACTGTTTCTACTTTGAACGCTAAAAGTCAACATCAAGACATCATGATTATCACTGTATATGTAATGATCACATGCCTGCTCTCGGAGGCATAAGGCAGTGGAGAGTGTGCTAACTGCTGTGTCAGTGGTGATTCAGGATGAATAAGAGCACAGAGACAAGGCAGCTAGACCAGTATTTGGGGGAAGGTTTCAGTGAAGCTGTCTTAAAAAAACACCAAGGCCTTAAGAAACAAATATGAATGAGCAGAGCATGGAATTGGGGAAAGGGAGAGGGCAGGAAATGAAGCATTCCAGAAGGTTCCAGCATGTGCAGAAGGGACGAGTACAATGTATAGATTGTGAAAGGTTATTCCTTGTTTATGCTCAGGTGACAGGCTGTGTTTTTCCTACCGCCCAGAAGAGTCCACAAGAATGCCAGGAAGCCTCTGAAGCTAGGCCAGAGAGAGAGAGGTATTCAAATTCAATAGCAGTTTCCTCTTTTGACAGCCAATGGCAGCTTGCTGGATTTGGTCCCCAGACTCGGGACTGATGTCTTCATTCCAGGTGGCTAATGCCAGTAGAATCGTCATCCCGTAAGATTTTGCCTTGATAGGGACACTATGGCAGAACAGTCCATTACTTTACACCTTCAGCAAGAAATACTTCCTTACATTGCCAGCGTAAAGATATGATTACTTTCCAAAGATGTAAGATTGCAGGGAAACCGGGGTTTGTCTTTAACTTAGAAAGGAACTATATAAACCCTTCTGTTATACTTCTCACAGAATGAAAATCAAGATTTTTTTTTTTAATTTTTTTATTTAAAAAACTTTAGCTGAAACAGGTTTGGCTCATTGGATAGAGCGTCGGCCTGCGGACTGAAGGGTTCCAGGTTCGATTCCATTCAAGGGCATGTACCTTGGTTGTGGGCACATCCCAGTAGGGGGTGTGCAGGAGGCAACTGGTCTGTTTCTCTCTCATCGATGTTTCTGGCTCTCTGTCTCTCTCCTTTCCTCTCTGTAAAAAAAAAAAAAAAAAAAAAAAAAAAAGCAATTTTATATATATAAATATATATATATATATATATATATATATAGTAAAATAAATAAGTAGATAAATAACTTTATTTTTCTTCTCCAGATAGGAAGCCTGAAAAATTTATTATGCTTTATCAGGAAAATACAGGGCCTTTTCCAAAAGGCCTCGTATTTCAACTCTATGGGGCAGAAACTGCTATTGGACAGACTGAACCAAGCCAAGGGGCAGACCTGATACTAACCAATCTACTTTCTGACCAGCGGCACACGGTCCCTGACAGCCTCCATTCTCCGGATCCTATGTCTGTTCAGCCATGTGAGCATGGCATTTAGGAGAAATGTGCACATCGCTTCCATCACTCCCCACTCCTGGATCTCTCTCGGTCCACTCAAAGTCTGTTTCCTGCAGAAATTAAACCATACTCTACTACCAGTAAACCCCAGAGGTCAGGAGGCCAAAGGTTCTCGATGTCCACCCGGGGTTCCTTTGGAGGCCCAGCAACGACCCTTTCCTTCAAGATCCATTCTGTACCTTCGGATCACGCTAGTCACACACAGTAATAGCCCGGAGTTCCCGAGGCGGGATGACATGGGGTGAGGTGGGCCCATGGGATCAAGCCTGCTAGAGGGAAGGTAAGGAGGATGCAAAAAGATGAAGATCAAATTTACTTCAGGTCTTTGTTTTTAGAATTGGAGGTTTAGAAAACTTCCTGAAATAGAAGGAAGTCATTAAAAAAGAAGCAAATTAAGTTTCTAGACATTTCTATGATACAGTACTGTACTACAGTTTTCCCTGGACCAATTTGTCACCCAATGTCACAATGTGACTCATTTCTAGACACCCTAATGCCCACTTTCAAGCTGACAACATTAAAATTTCCCTTGCAAAAGGATTATAACAACATAAACAGAAAATACAATGTTTTAGGCAGCAATGATCGGAAATACAGCTGTTCTTGAGCATACCTTCCCAAAAGGGCAAAACTTGGAACTTTGGGGAGCAAAAAATATTACTCTTCATCTGTATAAAGCCCAAAACTGTATACGGCCTAAACAGATGCCCAGAATCAGAGTATGTGTGGTATTAAAATTTCTTGGGGATAGACAATTAGAAAAAAATACATCTAGAAAGGCTCTTTAGTGAGGAGAGAATGAAAAATTTGAGAAACACTGCTACCGATTCTTCTGTCAAATCAGGAATACCTATATTGATTTCACTCTAGTGATAATTCAAAATCCCAAGATAAAACAGAAAATCATGGAGATTCTACTTCTATTGCAACCTATGTACTCCTGACTGGATCTAATTTGTGGCCTTTGTTTCTCCCAGCAGAAGTCACTCACATTGTTCAAGTGTAAAGAAAACCCTAGGATTAGTAATAAAAAATTTAAAAAAAGTTGATGAATCATTAAGTTTACAACACATACAAAGAGTACAAACCAAGAAAAGTAAATTTATTTAAATTACTAAAATAGCTTTTAAAGTCATTTATGGATCAGCTGCTATAATTATTTTTCCAGAAAGGTAAGCAAAACTAATTACTTTAAAATTATTTTGGTCAGTGAAACATTTAATAAAAACAATTTGTTTCTCCATATAATATATAGGTATAAAATAAGCCTCTTCAAAAACTCTTCTTGTTTTAGAATCCTCTATAAATCAGACCATCTGATTTCTGACAGGAACAAATGACAATATGAGGTATAAATTTATGAATACTGGTAGTCTTAGGGAGAAGAAATTAAACCATACTCTACTACCAGTCATGGGATCATCAAAAGGGTGTTAATAATTAAAAAACAAACAAACAAACAAAAAAAACCCCACAAGATGGCTCTAGAATTTTAAGATTCTAAGAAAACCAAAGCAATCAATAGATGAGAAAGTTGTTACATATGCAAAAATTATAACCGAAATACTATAGTACAATAATGTACAAATAGTACATTTTAACATTCTTCACACATGGTCACGTTTACTTTCTTTGTGGCTTGAGGCACTCAAGTTTATCATGTACATAGTAAATCTTTATAAAAGAGTAACTAAAGGAGACTGTAACAAGTGGACATGTAGAAAATTAAATCCTTCAATAGCCCACAAAAGCTGGTTAACCAATGGTCTACCAAATCCTAAAATTATATTCCTTTTGTTTTTCCCTCCTTCCCCCAGAAACTACATTTCTTAATTCAAAACAAAGCTTAAGGATATATCCAAAATAAACCGCTCTGGATTTACCTGCCTTTAAAAGTCAAATGAGTAAGTATACTTAATCTTGTGATATCATGCTTCACAATCATTGGGTGGACCAAAAATTTCTTAAAAGTAAAAAAAGGATATGTGAAAAACAAATCCCAACAGAACGCAGTGAGAATGGAGTTTATGTAACTATGTTTGACTAAGTCTCTGTAGCTTATTTTAACATTTTACCTTTAAGAGTTATTTTTCCCCTCCTTTCCTTCCCCAATCCACAAATTCTGTTCCCTTGCCTCCTCCTTTCCACCCTCCCAAATCAAAGAAAAAAATAACCCAAAACCCAAACACACACTCAGATGACCTTTCGTTATTTTTGTTCCTATAAGCAGAAGCTAAGGAACTCACACCCAAATGATGGAAAAGAAAAACAAAGTGGGGAAACCCACAGTTGCATTTAGGGAGCTGCCTTACTAAAAACAAACTGTAAAAAGTCTACGTTAAAAATAGGAAAGCTGCGCAGGAAGGATTTTCTAGTCCTTCCCACTGTCATTCCATAGTAATAATGTTTCAGCTGCATCTAAAACCATCCTCTGTGGGATTGCATCTAACTTACAGTTCTCTGATACCAGTAATACAAATCTAATGGAAACAGGAAAATGTTTCTCTCAAACGACAGGTAACAGATTGGAGAAATGATTTAGAACTTTTACTTCCTTTAGAAAGACAACAGTTCTTTCACAAAGATGCATTCTATCTCTGGTTACAAAGTCCAAAAAATTCTCAGAACTTGGGACATGATTTCTCTTCTGTCATCGCTTATAAGCAGATTCCCCTTTTCAGGGCATTTTCAGGCTGGACAGGCAGGACCAAGTGGGAAATGCGGCTCCAGAGGCCACTCAATTTGTCTGGGTCCATATGTTTGTAGGAGGTGGGTGTGTTAGAGTTGGTGAACTTGACTTTGAGGAAATCCCTCACTTTTTCTTCAATTTCCTTTAGGCCTAGACTGGTTCCAAGTGTCTCCTCCTCCAACAAGACGGTCAGGACTAAGGCTACATCTTTGAAGGCCGCGTTTTCATGGTCACAATACTTATAGAAGATCAGAGTGGAGCCTGCGGGCAGGGACTCGAAGCGGTGCACCACGGCTGCGGTCTGGCCGTTTTGGAATCCATTGCTCAGTTCTTGGTCCACCTCTAGCTTCACAGCATCACTGTCCTCGGTAGCCCTGCCCGTCCCGTCGATCCGGATGGCGCGGACGCTGCGGGAGGACGAATAGGCGTCGGCGATTCGCTCACTCAGGCACTTGAGAGCTTCTTCGGCGTCACGGGCAGCGGTCAGCAGCAGTATAGCAGGCTGAGGACGAGGCTTGGAGCTGTTGAGATGTTTTTCCAGGAATGTTAGGCTCCTTTTCCACAGCTTCTCATCCTGACCTTGGTACTTCGTCATAAGTTGTTTCATCTGGTTCTGGAACTCTTGCACAGCAGTGCTTTCTACCTGAGGAATACGAGTGTACCACCAAATCCCAAGGACAAGAATGAAGAGCACAGGAAATATCCACCACCAGTCCCACTTGACAAAAGATGCATTTTTGGGTTGTCCAGTCATGTCTGCTCAGGAGAAAAAAAAATGACAGATACAAATATAAATTTCTTCATGTCAAGGGCAAGTGACTCGTAAAACCTATATTAATCTTTTAAAAAATGTTTTTATTGAATTTTTAGAGAAGATGGGAAAGATAGAAACATTGATGAGAGAGATATATCAACATCAATCGGCTGTCTCATGCACGCCCCCCACCGGGGACTGAGCCTGCAATCCAAGCATGTCTCCTGACCAGGAATCAAACTGCAAACTCCTGGTTTATAGGTTGATGCTCAACCACTGAGCCATTCTGGCCAGGAAAGCCAATACTACCCCTTATAAACGGACAAAAGAGAAAGAATTTAAAGAAGGGAGCTGATAATCTACTTTCTTAATAATTTATTACACATTTTTAGAAAATCTCACACCCATGGGTTTTAAGGTAGGTGTGTAAGCATCCTTATGTCTCTTCATTACCAAACGATAAAAACTCAAGAGAAAGAAATAAAATTTAAATGTATCAAATGGCATAAGCAAATTAGAAGTAATCCTATATCATACAAGCCCAGCCAATGAACAGCAGAATGACCGCTTGACCAGTCGCTATGACGAGCACTGACCACCTGGGGTCAGACACTCAATGCTGGAGCTGCACCCTGGTGGTCAGTGCACTCCCACAAGAGGAGCAGCTGCTCGGAGGGCAGGTCCACAGCTGGGATGATTGGCGCTCCCACAGTGGATTGATCCCCACAGGCCATACCCCCCACCAGTGCTCAAATCTCATGCACTGGGCCCTCTAGTATAATTTATAAAACAAAACTATTGCTACTGTGAATACTGGGGAAGTAAGCAATATTAAAAGATATGTTATAAAGCATTTTTAAATTTAGAAACCCAGAGTTCAGATGGCTAATTATTCAAGATAGAATTTTTAAAGTTTTTTTTAAGTGTGCAAAAAGATAAAGAAAAGGATGCACTCTAAGTGAACACCCTGCATATATTGAAGCTAGCTGTCCCTTTAGTTGCACTGATGCAAGTTAACACTGGTAAAATTTAGTTTGCAAATCATCCCTAATTATTATTGGCTATCATGGTATCAAGTTACTTATCTATTGCTTTTCAGTTTATAAAGCACTCTCTCATATGTGACACACTTAATCGTTTAATATAATGGCAATGAAAATACTTCTACACCTTCTAATTATTGTCTGAGTGCTTTAGGCTAATAATTCAATATGGACCTTTTAGAGCAATAGTTGTCATAGATCTCATAACACTAAGACATTATTAACTTTTCCCACCACATTGACACTGCATTGATGGTGTAAAAAACAAATGATGCCTTAGAATGAATCACAGAGCAGTGGCACCAAACTGTATGATTATAGTTTTTGTATACTTCACGGCCATGCATTCTGTTTTACTTAAGAATATCCTTCATGCCGAAACCGGTTTGGCTCAATGGATAGAGCATCGGCTTGGGGACTGAAAGGTCCCGGGTTCGATTCCGGTCAAGGGCATGTACCTTGGTTGCAGGCATATCCCCAGTAGGGGGTGTGCAAGAGGCAGCTGATTGATGACTCTCTCTCATCGATGTTTCTAACTATCTCTCCCTTCCTCTCTGTACAAAATCAATAAAATATATTTATAAAAAAAGAAAAAGAAAAAAAAGAAAAAAAAGAATATCCTTCATAAAGAATATCTTACTATAACTTGAGGTTAATAAGAAATAATTTGAGCACAAATTTTAATATTCTATGTGAAAAAATTGGAAACACTTATAAAGCACTTCTTTTTATCAAAACTGAATTTACTGCCCTAGCCGGATTAGCTTGGTGGATGGAGCGTCAGCCTATCGACTCAAGGGTCCCAGGTTCGATTTTGGCCAACGGCACATGCTTGGGTTGCAGGCTCAATCCCCAGTGGGGGTCATGCAGGAGGCAGCCAATCAATGATTTTCTCTCATCATTGATGTTTCTGTCTCTCTCTCTCCTTCTCCCTTTCTCTCTGAAATCAGTAAAAAAATTTTATTTTTTAAAAGAACTGAATTTACTGAGGTAACATCGGCTAATAAAAGTATATAGGTTCAGTTACATAAAGCATTCTGATACATAGCCCAATACAATGGTTGTCTCAGGAAAAAAACTTGTGCAACTGAGTTGTGAGCTGCCCTAGTGCTTCTTTAATTGAAAGAACAAGTGAGAAACTATGATTACTCAGATTTGCATATCTGATAGACTTTTTCTTGAAAATGAACAAAGTGAGCCCAACTGACAGTATTTGCTGCCAATTATAAAATTCAAGGTTTCAAGTGAAAATTAGGATTGTGGGAATATTGTATCTACTACTATCAGTTTGAAAGCTCCCAATTCTAAAAGACTTTTTTGTTGGGGGTGATATTAGCAAATGTACTCTTTTGATATTGTATTACAAATGTCTCAACATTTGGAAACTACATAACTTCATGAATCATATTTTCCAAATGACCAGCGCAGGGTAGTCTATTCAAAGTACAACAAAGACCAATAGATTTTATAGAATACAAAAATATTAACGTGGTCTCAAATATTCAAACAGCAGTTAGAAACTACCACTTCTTGAGTTTTAGAGAGTATCGAAATTAAAATATCCACAATTATCTGAAACTATTAAAGTTCTACGTATCTGTATAAAGCTGGATTTTCTGCAGATACTTCAATCAAAACAATACATTGCAACAGACTGAAGGCAGAAGTAATAGATAGGTAAGCTCCATTTTGTTAAGCCAGACATTAAAGAAATTGGAAAAAATATAAAGCAAGTTACCGCTCTTCTTATTAAATTACTCAAAAATAAAATAGTAAGTCAGAAAAAAAATTTCAACTTTATCTTCTAGTTAAATATGGTTATGTATAACCCATATTTTTTTTAAATTAGAGGGTTTTTTTTGGGTACTTATTAATTTCACCAAACTCAGTTTGGTACCGAGACCAAAAAGTCTAAGAATCGGTTATTTGTTTAGTACTTATTCAGGGTAATACGCAGGCTTAGAAAACTAAACTTGCCCCCAATACTACAGAGAAGGTAAGAGATCCAATCTAATTCAAATACAAGCCTGTGGACTCTGAAACCCACGACAATCCTGTTGTGTTATGCTATGTGAGGTTTTTTTTTTTTTGTTTTTTTTTATTCAGAAAGGTCCACTTTAGTATTAGTAGCTTTAGTTTACTAACTTTTACTTTTGGTTGTATGGACAATAAAGTGAAGGGGGAAAGCAGTTGTTTCCTATCATTTACCATTAAAGAATTTCACCGCTAGAAAAATATGAACTTTTCCCTCTGAAGTGCTTAAAATACAATTCTTCGAATAGCATTGTTATTTTGCTGTCAAACACAATTAAAGAGAATTATGGACAACCAATTTTAAAGACTCACTTAATAAAAACTGAACAGACTTACGTTGGCTGAAGGTTGATGAAGACTGGTTTCCAAACTCTGATTTCTGGAAGCTGTTATCTAATGATAGGAGGAATAAAGACCATCAATTTATGTTTCATAACTTAAGTATTTCCAACAGAGAAAGAACATAAAAATTCCACCAAGAGAAAGAAAAGGTGGAGATCAGCCAGAAACAGAAGCAAAAAGCAGAAGTGCCCATTAGAATGACAGCTCCTTGAGACAGGGACCTATTTCCATCAAAACTATTGACGGCATGCCTATTCTTAATACATTCGCTCTGTGAGAGAGCCTTCGAGTATCTGATACAAATTATTTAATGGGAGCCGTGAAACTTCTGGGATAAAGATAGGAGGTTCAAATAAGAACTGAAATATACTGAAATATTTGTCTGGTACTGATGCTGTGAAGAGGAAAATAAAGAATAAAATACAGATTATGAACACGGGGCTATCTGGGTAAGGTGTTTTATTTTATATATTTTTATTGATTTCAGAGAGGAAGGGAAAGGAAGAGATAGAAATATGAATGATGAGATAGAGTCACTGATTGGCTGCCTCCTGCAATCCCCCTACTGGGGACAGAGCCCTCAACCTGAGCATGTGCCCTTGACTGGAATTGAATCCGGACCCTTAGTCCACAGGTTGACGCTCTATCCACTGAGCCAAACCAGCCAGGACTGGATAAGGCATTTTAATGTAAAGCTCCATCTTAACACTATTTTCTACCTTAAATTGATTCAAAGATTCCTCTGGTGCTTCTGACCACTTCAAGTACCAGTAATTTTAGAGGGGCTTGGTGAAGAAGGTGAAAGGATTAAGAAGTGCAAATTGGCAGTGACAAATAGCAATGGGGATTTAAAGTACAAACAGTATAGGACAGTGGTTGGCAAACTCATTAGTCAACAGAGCCAAATATCAACAGTACAACGATTGAAATTTCTTCTGAGAGCCAAATTTTTTAAACTTAAAATATATAGGTAGGTACATTGTTATTAACTTAATTAGGGTACTCCTGAGATGGTCTTTGCTAGAGCCGCACGTGGCTTGTGAGCCTCAGTTTGCTGACCACTGGATAGAGTCAATAATATTGTAATAACAATATATGGTGCCAGGTGGATACTAGACTTATGAGGGATCCTTCATAAGTTATATAAACAACTGACCACTATCCTGTACACCTGAAAGTAGAATAATATCAAATGTCAACTGTAATGAAAATTTAAAATGTTTTAAATAAAATAAAAAATTTACACTAAACAAACTTTTCACCATTTTTGTTAACAAGTAAATCTGTTTTATGTTTGTGCTTAAACAATAGGTTTCAAAAATAATATTCTCACAACTTCATCAAATCTCTACTTCTATTCTTACTTCAGAAAAATTAAAAACTACCCCAACTCTTTTTTCTCTCCTTCATCTTTCTTGGCTTGGCCACAGATTTTAACTTCTAAGAGAGAGGTTACAAAAGGACAGGGGCTCAGAAGGTGGAGAAGGTAAGTTACTCATTCATATGATCTACATTTACCAATAATTAACATTTATCAGTTGTCTAGAGTCACAACTATTATATATATATATACACATACACATATACATATACATATACGTCACACACACACACACACACACACACACACAGACACACATAATCTTTCTGGTGTTTACCATCAGCTTTCATTTTAGAAACACTAAACTAAACTGGAGAAATAAAATTAGCTCTGCCAAGATCCAGAAATAACCTTATTTTTGGTTACGGTATTTCTCAAATAAAGCAAAATGACATCAACCTTAACTATAAAGACACATTGTTTTATAAATTCATACTTCAGCCCAGGACACTATGTCTTTTAGAAGCTGCTAAATTAGTTTACCAAATATACAAATGAATAAAAATATTCAACAGATTATGTTAGCTTAAATACCTCACTCCATGGCTGCAAAGATCCAATGAGAAAATAGTATATAAAAATGTTGTGAAGTGGTATACTACGATGCTACTAAGGACAAACAGCTAAATAATAGTTATATAATATGTAATATTTATATAACTCATAAAAAGTAAACTAAGAAAACAAAATGAACACCAACAAAATCTAGAAAATAATCTTATTTACAATGGTACCAGAAAGAATAAAATAGAACTAAACTAAGAAAGTGAAAGACTTGTATACTGAAAACTATAAAACACTGAAAAGGAATTTAAAGCAGACACAAGTAAATGGAAAGACATCCATGTTCATAAATTGAAGAATTAAAAATCCTTAAAATGTCCATACCGCCTGAAGTAATCTACAGATTCAGTTCAAGCCCTATAAAAATTCCAATGGCATTTTTTACAGAAATAAAAAACAATTCTAAAATTCATATGGTACCACAAAAACTCCGAATAGCCAAAGCAAGCTTGAATAAAAACAATAAAGCTGGAGGTGTCACATTTTCTGATTTCAAAATGTTTGACAAAGCTAAGACAATCAAAATAGCATGGTTCTGGCATAAAAGGAGATATATAGACCAATGGAAGAGAACAGAGTCTAGAAATAAATCCACGCAAATATGGCCAACTGCTCTTAGACAAATGTGACGGAGCTCAGTATCCTCAATAAATGATGTTTGGGAAAAATGGATATCCACACGCAAAACAATGAAACTAGACCCTTATATACTGTACACAAAAATCAACTTTAAAATGGATTAAAAACTTAAACCAAAGAACTAAAACCATAAAGCTCTCAGAAGAAACACAAAGAAAGAGCTTCTTGATACTGGCCTTGGCAACGACTTCATGGATATGGTCACAAAAGCAGAAACAAAACATGAGATTACATCAAACTAGTAGGCATAATGAACTAATTTGAGACAAAGCAGGAATGCAAATAGGTAAAATACAAAAAATTAGCTAGCAATTTAGCAACTAAAAGGTGTATTTCTACATTCCAATTAGATCCTCAATGCAATTATTTTCCTTTCTACACAGCATTTGTAGTGTCTTATTGGAGGAAGTAAAAATTATGCAAACTTTTTTTTTGAGGAACATGTCCACCTTATTACATAAAGTCTCCTAATTTTATTTTATTTATTTTTAAACCTTTACTGTTGAAAGTATTACAGATGTCCCCTTGTTTCTCCCATCGACCCCTTCTAGTCCACCCCCACCTCCTGGCCTTTTTCATATACATTTTTGATAATATTGTGCACTATACTTCACTAATCTGGAAGTAATCTGATATTAATTACCCAGAATATAGGATGTCCCCCAAAATGTATACACACACTTCAAATAATTATAAAGGCAGTGTTTATTAAAATACATCTCATTTTCAAAATTGAGCTACCAGCTGTTAAAGTGTGTAGACATTTTTGGAAACACCCTGTATAGTTAAGAACTAAGAAATAACATATAAAATCTCTGAACTTTCATAGAATATATGCTCAAACTCAGTTTTATTTCCAAGAGTATCTCTCAGATCTTCAAAATAAGTTTTAACTTTTTTAAACTAGTTATAAACAAATCCTAAGAATCTTAATAATTGATAACCTTTCCTAACTCTAGTAGGAAGGACGAGCAAACTGAGAGGAAATGATCTTCTAATAGCAGGTACACATAGCAATAAGAAATGACAGCCAGCATTAAGGCAAAGGCAAAAAGCTAACCCAGAGAGCATCCTTCTAGGGGCTAGAAGGGATGCTACCTCATTCATGAATTGCTTAATAAAGCCAATTATATCTTGGGGGGGGGGGAAAGCTAACCCAGTTTTGATAGCTGAAGAACTCACTTATATGTGAGGTAAAAACTTCATTGCTGGGAATTGTGAACCATTACTATTTTGCTGATGGGAAACAAAGCCACAGAGCTTACCTTGTCCAATTACAGCTTGTCACTTCATGAGCAAGAGCTACATGATGGGGATTTTTATGCTATCTAGATAATAATAAGGGGTGATGACCTTGCGACCTACTGTAACAAGGTGAGTAAAGAAGGGAGCGAGGTTAAGGGTCACATAAGGCATGGATTTTTATTTTATATGGTCAAGGTTTAACATAAACACATTGCCACAGAAATTATGATGGACACTGAATTCAAAATGTGATTGCTTCATCACATCTATTTATGGTATGTCCTTATTAATGACATCACAAACACCCTAAGTGCTTATCTGAAAAATTACATATTTTTGTATGTTAAATAACCAAGAAAAACAGCAAGTAAAATTATTTCAATAACAGGTAGAGGCTCAACTTACTTGGCATCGTCTTCCTTATTCTTGTGGTTTGGTCAACACGTAGCTGAAGGTTTCTTTGATATCCTGGGCCTGTAGCAAATATATATATATCAAAATATGATTTCATATGCTTTGAAAATGTAACCCATACTCCAGTGTTAGACAATGTCAAAGGACCACATCGGTGAGGATGAACCACTTCCCAGCAAAACAGGTAGCAAATAAATATACCGGGATGGGCAAAACTGGGTTAATAATAATAATAGTAACAACAGTAGATAATATAATAACTAACTAAATAATAATATAAGAATAAACTCACAAAATCACAGCTGCAAACCTATTTCTGCCCATCCCTGTGTAATCACCTGAGAAACAAAACTCTGTCCAAGTGCTTTACTCTGGTCTGTGAAAATGACTGAGCTCAATGACACTTCAACTTGATTTTGATGTTAAGAAGGAAAAGTTAACTCTTGCAAATAAATTACTTTCAGTAAAACTGTCCTAAACACATTTCCACATCACAGAGTAACTACCACACAGAGCACCAATGTGTGGTGAATTAAAAGGCAAAAAGGATAAAATGACTTAAAACATCCTACATAGGTAGTACTTTTTGCTGGCAGAGTAATGACAGGTTAGAATTGGTTGACTAATCAAGAATCACCGACCACTTACTTGGCACTGAATGTTGCTTATTAAAAGCTGTGAAGTCTTGACCTGAAACAGAAACAGATAAAGTCATAGAATACTTGAAAATAAGAACAATAAAATATTGCATCAATATTTTGCTTGTTTATTATAAATACATAAATCAAAGAAACAAAAGCAAAAACCTTTCTTCCATCAGTCTCAAACATATACAATACGTAACTGTTTTCCCTCATCTAAACTTCAAAATATTCAGGAATTAGGTAATTAGTAGTAAGCTTTAGGATCAATACCATTAAAATAATGATGAACTGTCAGTTGTCAGTATAATTTTACTTAATTCTTATAATTTGTGTGGTGAGTACTATTATTATTCCTATGTTACAAATAAGGAAACTTAAATTAATAATTTGCCCCATTATATATCTCAAAGTAGTAGGGCTGAGATATAGACCCTGGCAATCCACATAATGTTATGTATTATATAAGCAAATTTGTGGACACGGTAGAGTAGTAATGAAATAAAGGATGCTGCGGCATGTTTTGTGCTGATACTTAAGAACACCTATAAAAATCACACATGGAACTTGAAAATATTACAATTCTAACAAGAAAATTTCCAAATCTGCCCTGAAGAAATGAGTTACTTCCATCCACTGATACAAGTATCAATGTAAATTTATTTTCGACTTTTTTTCCTGAAAACAAGTGCGATATATGCTAGCTGTAAAAGAAATGCACCTTTTTAGAAAGGTATAACTTAAAAATTAATAAATATCTAGTAGTGCCTACTATGTACAAAATATTACATGTAGAAATGTCATAGTATATGAGATAGATGTTCTTCCAGATTTGTCTTTAGTCTATACTAACAAAATACAGTACTTTTAAAAAAAGTAGACACATGATTTTTAATATTTCTTTTCATTGATTCTAAAAAGTACTTTTTATAGCAACACCTCAGATTTAGGGTTGCATCTTATAACCAATGCTATGTTATATAACAGTTTAACTGGATGGCTTTTCTTTCTTAGTGATGCATAAAATTGACAGTATCTTAGATTTAAGAAAACATATCTTGTTACCTATATTCATTAGAATAAAGCATTAATTAGGTAATTAATCATACCTAAATAGTATTCTAATGCATGAGTGTAACATGATTTATATAGAAAGATACATGTAAGAGCTTCCAAAATCAGAGATTTTGAGTAACAAAGGACAAATATATAAGATGATACAGTCTCTTTTCCACAATGGTTTATTTTTGTTTCAGCAGCTTATTCATTTTGTTACCTCTGCTTTTAAACCACAAACCTAGAACCCACTGAAAACTAAAAAAAAAAACAGATAAAGTGGAATTACATGTCAATGCCTCTTTTGAAGATCAATGAAAGATAAACAAAGTTGAACAGAATGTAAGTAGAATCACAGAGCTGAAGGAAGAAATAGATATAAAAAAGAACTCCAAAATTTAGATGATGCTTGTGAGGGCATCATGTTTGCAGATGACAACTGCTAATGATACCTATCAAACTGATGTTTTCATTAGCCATTCTCAAGAAGAAAGACAAGAAAAATTTGCAAGGAGATACTGACACCTTAGAATCCAAAGTGGAATCAACTCAGTGGGTGTTAGCAGATTCGAAAGTTGTTATATGCAAAATTTGGGCAACATAAACCTTGAAGGTGATGCAAGTTAAATATTTTATATTTTAATAAACGAATATTGTTCAAATGATAATTTGTCTTCAAATGATATAGAAAGTAAAAATTTTAAAAATTTTCATTTCTTTTATGGAAACTTGCCTATTTTCATGTCTTCCATATTAATTAATATGTTTTTACTGACTTCATAGAGAGGAAGGAGGAGGGAGAGAGAGAGAAACATCAATGATGAGAATCATTGACCGGCTGCTTCCTGCACACCCTCTGCTGGGGATGGAGCCCAAAACCTGGGCAGGTACCCTGATCAGGAATCCTGGTGCACAGGATGATGCCCAACCAACTGAAGCACACCGGCCAGGGCAGTGTACAAGGATATTTTTTAAAATCTATGAATAACTCAAATTCTGGGGCTTGATTTGAAACTGTGAGAAAAACCCCAATATCATTTCCATTTAACTTAAGAAATACATATTCATTGTTAATAATCTGCAAAATAATGAAAAAAGTGAAAGAAAAATGTCACTAATGATTCCGCCACTCTAAACAAATCACTGTTAGCTTTCAGCATATTATTTTCCAATCTTTTCTTGAGTTATATTTTCTCAACACTTTATTATGAAAATTTGCAAAGTTGTAAGCAAGGCTGTAAAACTTTTATATGCCCACCACCTAACTTACCATTAACGTTTTACTACATCTCCTTTATCACTAATTTATTCATCATTCCAAGTCTTTGCAACAGTTAAAATTATACTGCATATAAAACTTTATATCCTTATTAAATTATGTCTATATAAGTGGGCTCAAACTACTACATTAGTTAAATAAAACTTTTCAACAAATTTACATTGTAACCAAAAATACTCAACAAATCACTGAAAGCAGTTCCGCGTTTTTAAATTCTAATTCAAGGTTGAATACAGAGATGGCTCACTCAAAAAGCAAATTCAAGATGCACAATGAGGGTTTTAAAGCATTCACCAAACCCCCTTTCCAACATTTTACATAAAACTTGCAAAAGATCTTTAAAAACAAAAGCAGCATTGACCACACCCACAGGTAGACTTGTAAGAGTGTAAAACGTACTTTCCTTACTTTGAGATGACTGCCAAAATGATTCTAGATATTGACTTGGTCTGCTGGTTTGATCTAAAAAATAATGAAGAAATATAGTACAATCAGATTGCTATTTTGGCAACAGAAGCATTTAACACACTCAGGTATGGTGACTAAATATCTATATATATAAAAGCCTAAGCTACTGGCCAACCAGTAGCTATGACACACACTAACCACCAGGGGGCAGGTGCTCAATGCAGGAGTTGCTGAGCTGTGGTTCTCAGGTGACTTGCACCTGGAACCAGAGAGGAGGGAGCCCGATTCTGGGGTGCGTCACCTGAGAACCGCCCTCTCACAATCTGGGACTCCTCAGGGGATGTTAAAGAGCAAGTTTCGCCCCATCACTGCAGGCCAGGACGAGGGACCCCACTGGTGCACGAATCTGTGCACTGAGCCTCTAGTATACATATATACATATATATCTTTTTAATCCTTACCCGAGGATATTTTTCCATTGATTTTTAAAAATTGATTTCAGAGAGGAAAGGAGTGGGAGAGAGAGAAAAACAACTTTATATATATATATTTCTATTGATTTTAGAGAGGAAGGGAGAAGGAGAGATAGAAACATCAATGATGAGAGAGAATCATTGATTGGCTGCCTCCAGTGGGGATCAAGGGGATCAATTATTTTCCACTACCCAGGCATGGCCCTTGACCAGAATCGAACCTGGGACCTTTCAGTCTGCAGGCCGATGCTCTATCCACTGAGCCAAACCAGGTAGGGCTTACAGTATTTCTTAAAAAAGCAAATTCACAGCCAAAACAGGTTTGGCTAAGTAGATAGAGCGTCGGCCTGTGGACTGGAGGGTCCCGGGTTCGATTCCGGTCAAGGGCATGTACCTTGGTTATGGGCACATCCCCAGTGGGGGGTGTGCAAGAGGCAGTTGATCGATGATTCTCTCTCATCGATGTTTCTAACTCTCTCTTCCTCTCTCTTCCTCTCTGTGAAAAATCAATAAAAAATATATATATTTTTTTAAAAAGCAAATTCACTGAATACCTTTATATTTTAACTAAAAATACAGCTCCTAAGTGTCATATGTGTATAAAGCAATATTACCTCCAGAGTCAAGAGACTTCTTGGATCTGTCCTTATAAGAATTAACAGCACTGTCAGAGCTGTCCTGATCATCTTCTTCAGTGTCACCTAAAAGGAAAGAAAGGATACACGAGTATAGTCTCTATTCAAATGCTCTAATGATCAGGATTAAGAAACAAAAACAAGCATTCAAGTTAAATCTTATTAAAGTTAAATCTTTTTTTACAGAGAGAAACATTAATGGGAGAGAAACATCAATCAACTGCCTCTTGCACACCTCCCACTGGGGATGTGTCCGAAACCAATGTACATGCCCTTGACCGGAATCGAACCCGGGACCCTTCAGTCCACAGGCCGATGCTCTATCCACTGAGCCAAACCGGTTTCGGCGTAAAGTGAAATCTTCTTGATGATCAGATACAAAATTGTTCTTTATTAGGTTTACTTATTCTGAGTCACGATGTTTTAAATAAGCTAAAATTGAGCTCATTTATTTTATATTCTCAGAGGCATATCATTATATTCTAACAAATACTGAGAGTAATATTTACTAAGATTATATTCCAAAGCTTGAAAAAAAATTTTTTAAAAAGGGGAGCATTAAATAGCGGAAAATTTTTACCTTATTAACTTTAACTTATTAGTGTGAAAACTCAGACAAGATTAGTACATATACAGATACATGTCTGTATGTTTGGGAATGTTATATACATGTCCACACACAAACATTTCAGTATGGAGATGACTAATTTCAGAGTATGGTGGGCTTTAAAATGGACTAAATGGTACTGCACTATTCAAACATAGACTGGTTATGAGAATTTAAAAAACTGTTTTAATAACATAATCAAATGCCAGAATGTCAGAAAACTGAAAATACTAGCTTTGCTTAAAATTATTATTATTATTATTATTTTTTAAAATATATTTTATTGATTTTGTACAGAGAGGAAGGAAGAGAGATAGAGAGTTAGAAACATCGATGAGAGAGAGTCATCGATCAGCTGCCTCTTGTACACCCCCTACTGGGGATATGCCCGCAACCAAGGTACATGCCCTTGACTGGAATCAAACCCTGGACCCTTCAGTTCCCAAGCTGATGTTCTATCCATTGAGCCAAACCGGTCTCAGCTGCTTAAAATTATTAACTCAGACAAAATTTGCTAAAATGTACAAAGGCTATCAATATTCATTCTATACTATTTTACCTGCCTGTTTGACAGGTAAGAATGATTTTTTTTTTCCCCCTGAAGAAAAAGACACTATTTTCTGCTTTCACTCTTAAGTATCTATCAAAATTCTGATAATTGTAACAAAAAAAAAGATTAAGAATACACTGTATGACATTTGGAAAGAAAATACCTTCTTCGGAGAAATTGACCTTCTGTGGGACACTGGTGGCTTCTAGAAGAGAAAAGCATACATGTATAAAACATCAAAGGCTAAAGCTTGGGAATAAAAACATCAAAATTAAGAAAAGGGACCATAAAGACAAACTGAACTATTTTTTGTTTGTTTGTTTGTTTGTTAAATCCAAGAAGAGTTTATTATTTCCCTCTACTCTGTTTCAGGAATAAGTCTGATACAAACTAAAATCAGAAAGTTTATTTTTCCCTTACCCACAGGTCTACTTGTACTCTAAAATGTATTTCCAGTTTACTAAGTTTTTATATGAATGGGTATTGGAGTCTGTCAAATGCTTTCCTTGCATCTAATGACATGATCATGTAATTTTTCTTCAGTTTATTGATGTACTAGATTACATTAATTAATTTTTAATAATTTTTATGTACATTTTTTTGGTTCTAGCATATGGGCCAGTCACTGACATTTAGGAGGAGGTTAAAAATAAATGTCTATTTTAATGAATGAATAGATTTCAGGGTCACAGAATAAAAGCTTTTAAGACTTGCTAATATTTTTCATACTTTAATAAAAAAACATTACTTGGCAACTTAAAAAAAGTCACCTGAAATCAATGCTTAAATAATCAGATTTCATACAAGGTTTTAAACATTCCACTTGTCTTTATCTTTTTAACCTAAGCTGCAAAATATTCATAGATGTGTATTTAAATACCATCTGATAATGAATCAGCAGCTTCTATGATTACATAAGTTTTAATTTCATTTCCTTCTTTTGTTATTCAGCTTCCTGTATTTTAAACGTCTTGGCTGCTACATGCATAAGTTTAAAACATTAAATAAATATACCCAACTGGTGTGGCTCAGTGGTTGAACATCGACCCATGAACTAAGAGATCACTGGTTTGATTCCTGGTCAGGGTACATGCTCGGGTTTCAGGTTAGATCCCTACCAGGAGGCATGCGGGAGGCAGCTGATGAATATTTCTCTTTCATAGATATTTCTCTCTCTCTCTCTCTCTCTCTCTCTCTCTCTCTCTCTCTCTCTCCCTCTCTCTCCCTCTCTCTGTAATATTAAAAAAAAAATTAAATCGATATATATGGTATTATTCTTCCTTATGCTCATACAGAAGTTCTGATAAATTAACATCCTTTTTGGAGCAATAATACCCTTAATTTTAAAAAGTTATCTGTGGCACTGACAAATATATAGACACATGGCAATAATTAAATGTGCCAACAATCTCAACCATTTACAAAAAGGTACTTTCAGAAATCTTAGGTCTTTGTTGCAAGCTAGATCACTTACAACCATCTCCTCTGATGGAGACTACTAATTATAACACTTTGTTCACTTCTTTTTGTATGATCGCAGTTTTTTGTTTGTTGTTATTTTTTTAAAATATATTTTTATTGAATTCAGAGAGGGAGAGGGAGAAACATCAATGATGAGAAAGAACTGGCTGCCTCCTGCACCCCACTGCACTGGGGGTCGAGCCCACAGCCCAGGCATGTGCCCCTGACCAAATGGAACCTCAGTGATGCTTTATCCACTGAGCCAAACTGGCCAGGCTGTTTGTTTTTTACTGCAGTTTTTAAAGAAAATACAAGGATCCTGGTAATTTCTACTACTGTATAAATGCTCCTATTCCTAGAGATCTGTGGAATGTGTTGGTGTGAGGAGGGAAGAGTACTCAAGTAAATATAAACTTTGCTTACCTTGTTTTTTGTCTGGGGGCAAAGACAGGAAGATTTCATAAAGGAGATTATAACCTAGCTTGGAGTGTTACAATAAATCCATGTCCAGACAAGGATGTACCCCTTTGAATTTACTCTTAGAACAAACAAATGACAATTTGAGTAATTTGCTGTCTTATTCCTGCCATTGGTATAAATGAGGGGTCAGCCAACTTATTCCACTTAGGGCCAAATGGCAAATATTTTAGGTTTTGTGAACCATGTAAGTTCTCTGCAATTCACACATATATGAATACACATATTCTCATAGATATGTATGTCAAATATAGATATTTCACAAAATATAAATATTTTTAAAGCTCACAAGCTGTACAAAAAACAGGACTGCAGGTCAGATTTTACTCAGAGGCTATAGTTTTCTGACCCCGGTATATATACCTTTAAAAATAGTACCTGTAAAATTATTTGGTGCCATCCACGCTTTTGAGAACAGTCAGAGTGGAGCAGGAAGAAGAGATTAAGGTATAGCTTGAGGATATTACTAATATTCAAGTTCCATGAATAGCCATTTGATACACTCCATTCTCTATTAATCTCAGAAATTTCCTTCAAACCGGAAAGCACTTGATTTAAAGTTAATTTTTATTATAAAATTATACTTATAAAATACTAATAAAAATAATTTTTATTATAAAATACTTATAAAAATAATTTTTATTCAAGCATAGAAAGTAAAAGTGCAGGATTATCTTAGCTCAAAGTTCTTTCTAATTAAGAGTCTGACTTAATCACCCAAATAAATTCAATAAAAGAAAAAAAAAATCCCAATTTTAAAAGAAAAAAAGGTTAAAAAAAACAAACTTGACATAAAAACATTCTTTTTTTTTTTTTTTAAGTTTTAAAATAGAGCACTTGAGAAACTCTGGTGTTTGGCTAAAAGCCCACAATTGCTGTATACTGTAAGGATCATGTTCAGTACCCAGACACTAAAAATCCTCAAGTCTCTAAAGAAATTAACCTCAGCTTAAGTGAAAGACAAATTTTTTTAAAGCTGCAACTATTTATGAAGAAAAATTAGGCCTCTTTCCTTTTGACCCATCTCCAAATTTAGAAAAGGGTTGTAACTTAAAACTAAGTCCAACCACAATCAATGCAGATTCACATAAAGCCACAGATCTTGGTATCTCATGTTCTATATGAATAAAACACTGAAAAGAATTAAAACTAGGTCAACAAACATGGCAAAGGACACTAAACTTACTAGAAAAAAATTTCAAATTCTAAATCAAGAAAAAAACCTTAATCGTTAAGTTGTTATCTCCTTTCTCTCAATAGTGTGACTTGAACAAAGGCTAATTAAAATGAAAATGTATTTGTTCCTTCACAAATTTTAACAATAGTATAACAAAATACATAATTTCAAATGGAACCACCACCAAGGCTGCTAAGAAAGATCTTGGTCATAGGGACAGTGCCCCACACACTGAGATAATGAACAAAGTAATATTCTCAAGCCAGTGACCAAAAGTGTGTACTCCTATATTCTACTGATAATCAGAATCCTCAAAAAGAACCCAGAAAAATTAGAAATTAACAAACCTAATTCACTCTTTTCAGTACTTCCATTTGTTTTGTATGATGAATCTGCAAGAAAGAGAGATAGTGAGAAAAAGATTAGAGCTTAAAAGGAAATGCATCATATGGTTCTTTACCACAGGTTCATCATCAAAACCATAACAGATCTTTATCATTGTAGTACTGGATAGTCAGAGAAAAATCAACATAATTTTTTCTTATAGAATATGACTGAGGAATAGAAAATTAATGTGAAGATAAATAAGCTTCCTTTTCAGTTTCCATAATAAAGCATCTTTTTGGGCCAAAAAACTGAAAATAAAGCAGAAGTAGACTTCACTAGTTTTCTTTCAGAGCCATGAAATCAATTTAAGGTAACAGTCTTTTAAGGTATTAGTCAAAAAGAAAGGTACTGGAGGCAGGGAAATTTTATAGCCCTGAGCCACAAAGCCTCAGTCTTGAATTTTTTATCAGCCTCATCCTGCAAAGAATAAAAAGTCCCTGACCCTAGTGTGAAGTCAGAGCGCTAACAAAAAGAATTATAGCAACATGTAAAAAACACCTCCTAAAAAGGCTGAAGAAGCAAGCCCTTGATATAGTTATATGAAAATGTCACAATATATGTTAAATGAAATAAACATTATAGAGGTGCAAAAATATTTATTGGAATAAAGGGAGGAAAGATCATTTATACATGAATTTCCTTGTATCTCCATAAAATATCTCTGGAAGAATACCCAGGAAACTGACAACACTGGCTGCCTCTGATGAGATGGGTGGGTAAAGGAGAGAGGGAGCAGGATGACTTTCCATTGTGTATTTAAAGTAACTTTTGAATTTTGAATCATATGAATACATGTGCTACCCTACTTGAAAACAAAATTGCATTTTTAAAAAACGTTACGCCTACAGACAAATAATTTCTTACCAGATAGTGGACTTCTTAGAGGGGGTCTACACAGGCCAAGTAGAGAATCTTCACCCATCACTAATATGGGAGAAAAAAACACTTAAGAATACGTAAAATATCCAACACATAAGATTTATTATACAGTCATCTATTAATTCAACAGAGGTGTTTCTGCACTTCCCATTATGTTAAGTATAAGAGTATACTAGTGAACTAGAAACAAGTTTCCTGCCATAAAAAATTTATGGACTTGATGGGAAAATTGATAATTTTTTTTCAGCAGACTGTATTTGTATAAAAGGAAAGGAATACCAAATAAAATACTCCTAAATTTCCCAGATAGAAACCACAATTTGATGCTATATCAAGTTAATATAATTCTGAATATCAACTGTAATTGAAAAAATTTTTTCAATGAAAAAAAAAAATCTGTATGAGCATAGAGAAGAAAAACAAACAAAAAAACACCTCTTTCCTGTATGCTCCATAGGGTGGTGTGTGTGTGTGTGTGTGTATGTAAGATACTTGAAGGAGACAAAGTACCAGGAAGAGGTATCAGATGATCAGTAACACAGTTATTTTTCCTAGGTTGTTTTAGAACGTGGCCTCTTGGGTTAAGTCTTTATTCTTAAGGGCATCTTTGAATAAATTTCTCTCAGACCACAGTAGTGGCCATATATGCAATTACAGAATATATAATATTCAAAATATCAAGTTAAACTGAAACTCTATAATTCTATAAGGAAGAGAAAGGGCCTATCCTTAAACTTTTTCTAAAAGCAATCTTCCAACAAGATTGGAAGTGACTCCTATTTAAAAATTCCTCTGCTAGACAGATTCCTTTACAAGCATTTAATAATAACCTAAACTTTTTCTCCTTTCATTCAGAAGCATGAGACGGGAGCATGCCAAGTGCTGGATGTAGAAAGATTTATAAAAGCTCCTTTTAGAGTAAGAGAACCCTGAGTATCCCCAATCTCCCAAAGATGAACATAACCTAATTTCTAGTTATATAGTACTAGAGGCCTGGTGCACAAAGTTTGTGCACGGGGGTGAGCGGGGGAGCTCATCAGCCTTCACCCTCTCCAATCTGGGACCCCTTGAGGGATGTCCGACAGCCCATTTAGGCCTGGGTTAAAAAAATCCAGGGATGATCAGTTTCAACAGTTATAATCATCTGACGTGGGATTGTCCTAATATCAAAAAGAGCAAACTAAAAATAAGTGGAATTAAAACAAAATATACTAAACACTAATAAATTTAGTTAATTCTTTCCCCTGCTTTTCAAAATAATTGTTTTAAGAACTTAAGTAGATTATCGGATGTAGCCTACTTCCATGTGACATTGACTCTAAGATGCAAATATTTTTAGACTTTAACATTTCTGAATTGGGATGCATTACACAATCTATGGCATATTACAGTTTAATAGCAGCATTTCTTCCTTTTAAGTGGTACATAAAACAATGACAGTATCTTACAGATGACTATCTTAGACTTCATGAAATGTAGTATCAAATGGACAAGATTTTGCTATACAAACCATTTAACCCATTTTAAACGAAATGTGGGTAAGGCAGTTTACCCATTTATCCTACTGGGTAGCTAATTATTACATGGTCGAGTGACAGTGATACTTGGGGGAAATAAAAGGGCTCTGCGACTGAATAAGTTATAAGACACACAGTTATGTGACTGAATTAATATATATGAAGCAGCTGGTACTCAGTAAGTACTAAAGTAAGCTCCTTGTCTTTTCTTGACACATTGCTTAATTCAATAAACAACTATTAAGATTTACTGAAACTGAATGAAGTATGACTTGGGACCCCTGATGAACCGGGTTATAACCTGTACATTAAAAAAAAAGTTGCCAGGTAAAGGGAAAAACCAAAATCGTTCTCTCACCCGAAATCTCCTGTGTTCTCCTGACAGTTTTCTTTGAGACTGTTTGGCTTACATCAGTTTGCAGAGATAGCTCTTCCTCTAAAGAATAGATATGACAATTGTCAAAATTCAGAATACATGATCTGGGTAGAGATTATATATTCATGTTAATAGCCATAGATGATCAGAAATGCAAGTAATTCATTGCTTTAGAAATGTGGAATTAAGTTTACCAAAACTTATAAATATAACTAGTCATAACTACAATTAAAAAAAAAATAAAACTCCTCCCCTCTAATGCTTTACCACAAAAACATATTACTACTTTAAAAATCTTAAAAGATGGGCTAGAGCAGCAATTTTCAACATGTATGCTGCAAGAATTTTTAAAGCACACAATACCGGACTACTTGACCTCTTTTCCCTTGGATTTTTAAATTTAAAAAATGACAGCCATCTGCTGTAAATGAATCAAAATTATGCCTTTCTTTGTTCTTATCGGCAAAAAAATATATACATTTTGGTGAGCACAGAATTTTAGTAATTAGTTTATGTGCGCCATGAGATGAAAAAGGTTGAAAATTGCTGGGCTAGTATCAAAAATGTGGAAGAAAGCAAAAGAGCAAAAAAAAATGTTTAGGTCCTTAGAGATGTACTTAAATAGAGGCATATCCTTTATGTGTTAAAAATATTAACTTACACAGCTTCATTAGACTCTGAAGAAGAGTCCATACCATTTAACAGGTCTTGTTAAATAAAAATATGTGCAAAGCATTCTTCCAGACATTGAAGATTCATAAGCACTATCAAATATATATGATAGGATCTTTGCCTTCAGGAACACATGGGGTGTTTGCAGTGGTGAGTATGAGAAACAGAGTTTATTCTTGTATTATTATTTATTAAGTACTGTATTACTTCCCATAGGAACAACTGTCTCGAGTGACTACACCCTATAGTAATGTACGTCTCTTTAACATAAAGTTTCCAAAATGAACACATCTTCAAATGTGTCAGCACTTCGTATGTCATCCGGTAAACAGGCAGCCTGTTACTCTAAGCCTGAAAATCCAAGCCCTCTCCGTATCTATCAACGGTCTCCTGTGTCATCCCATTGTGATTCAGACCCCCTGGCTCTTACCTCACAGGTGCCTTACATGGGCTAACATGAAACATCACTGGGGACTCTGCTAGATGGGGGCCTGGAGGCGAGGAGGGGAAGGGGCTGATTAAGGGTGTTGATTCACCTGTGACTCGTGTAAAAAAAACTACACACTAACTTTGTCAGCATCCTTTTGGCCCGTTTGTCGGGCTGCTCCTTAATCACTGAGATGACAATGAGGGGGCCCCCAGAGTGGCGAATGTGGGGCACAGACCACCATAAAGAGAAAGAGCCATCAGCTCAAGTCTGTCAGACACACTGGGGGCTTCAAGTTCAAGATAACTAGCTCACCCCATGTCGCTGTCCGGATTTGGGTGGGGTCGCAAATCACTTCCCCGACTACTACGCTACTACCCCGCACAAGGCCCTCCCTCTCTCCTCTCGCGGGCAGGGAAGGGAACTGACTGGAAGGTGGGTGAGAACCGTAATTCGCAGCTGGGGACTTTGGGCCCCTGAGAATAAAAGGAGGAACTAGAAGCGGCTTTTTAGCAGAAACGGCCACAGGCTAGCGGAAACCGAAATGAAACTGAGCCTGGAGCGATCCGATGTCCCGCCGGCCGCCTAACTCGCCGTCCCTCGGGAAGGCAATCCTGACACCTCTAAACCGATGCCCGGGGATGCAGAGCTCCGAGGCTCTGCTCGCTGCTCCCACTAAGCCTTTCCAATCCTCCCTCCGGTGCCTCTCTGACCCCTGCGGTCGGGGTGGACGGACGAGAGGACCCACCTCACCCGGCCGGAGGAGCCCGTGCGAGGATGAATGAGCTCGGCGGGGACAGCCCGTCCGCCCGCCCTCCCTCCCTCCCGCCCCTCTCGCTCCCCGACACGCGGGACTGTTACCTCCGTCCGCCTCACCTTCAGAGGAGTGAGAGTCCCGAAACCGTCTCGGGGCCATAGCCGGCTGCAGGGGAGGCTGCGGTGAGCTCTCCGGCTGGAGGCGCGCGGCGCTTCGCGTCTTCATCTCGCCGGCGTCCGGGAGCCGCGGCTGCCTCCGCCGCTGGGACCGTAGGTTGTAGGCGCTTCCTCCCACTTCCTCTTTGGTAGAGTGGGGCCGGAACTCTCTCAGCTGGACTCGCTTTCCCATCGGAGACCTATCGTTGGCCACCGGGGGCTCCAAGTCGCCGTACACTTCCGGCGGCTCTTCCGAAAACCTCACTTCCCGCCGGGCGTGGCGCGTCGGCGAAGGCGACGGCGTTGCGTGCGCCGGTGCGTCACTGCGGCCTCCCAGTTCCGGGGCGAGCCGGCGCCTCCCCTCCCGCAGGGGGGCCCTGGGTGTCACGTGCAGCCCCCACCCTTCAACCACCGACTCCGCCCGCCGCCCGTCGCCCGCCATCGTTGTTGTCGTAGGTTGGCGCCTGCCGCCTAGATGGTCTGGGGGCCCTGAATTCACCTGCCGCTGGTGTGACGATGGCTTTTCGGGGTGCCGGGCGGTGGTCGCGGTGGTCAAGGAGGCAGTTGAGAGTCGCCGGGGCTGCCGCCTGCGTGGTCGCTGCTGCGCCGCAAACGCGCGTCTGGGCCCATGGTGTGTCCGAGGGCGAGGGCCGAGGGAGAGGCAGTGCCCTCCCTGCTGGGTCAGCTGCTGAGGGTCACCCCCGCCTCTTGGCTGCAGGCCCCAAAGAGGAGGAGGCGGAGAGGGAGGGGACGGCGGAGAAGGGACACCCGGCTGGGCAAATGGCGAGCCTTGCACCCAGCCGCTCGCGGCAGCTGTTGGCCGCGGGCGGAGACGCCCGAGCTGGCGGCCAGTGGCGAGGGGAAAGCGAGGGAGACGGGGATGGAGACGTTTGGTCCCCGTCCCCAGGCTGTGGCGCAGTTTCCGTGGAACCGTTTTGGTCCACCGCTGCCTCAGCGGAGCCTGGACATGCCCCTAGCAGGGGTGATGACAATAAGGAGACCTTTGCAGGTGTCATCTTTTCTTGGAGAAGAATTTGGTTTCAAGCTCTTGATGAGAGCAGTTGCCCAGTTTTATATTGTAAGTCACCTGTTGAGTGTAGAAATGGAAACTGCAGTGAAACACACAGCGAATGGCATTCCCGAGAAGCTCTGTCCCAGCAGCGCTGTTCTGAACCTTAGCGCTGCTGTATTGATATTTTATGGACAAAGAAATGAACAAATACATCGATTAAAGACAGCTGTAATTTTAACTTGGGGTCCATTACTTTTACTTTGATTCTGGGCATGACTTGATATACTGCATTTGATTTGGGGATTCCTGTGTTTACTTGAATAAACTTGAATAAAAAGCACTGTTTCACATCCGTATACCATACTTAGGATGTAGATCATTACAAACATCTAACCAAATTTACACACACACACACACACACACACACACGAGAGAAGGGGAACTAAGTTAGTGTAAAGTCTGAAAAATTAAAAGATTAATGTTACCTTCAAAATATACACTTCAAAATCCTCTTCTTGGAGGATTTATTTTATTTTATAATTTAGTGTATAGATTTTAAAAATTGAGTGATTCTGAAAAATTTGAAGGTATTGTTTCTTTTTTTCAATATTTTAAATCGCCTTAGAATGATTTTGAGCAACTCATTTGTTCAAACTGGGCACAAATTTCAATATAATGAAATTTTAACATGTTCTATGTTTTCACTAATAAGCCATATATTTGATCACAGACACAAAGAGTTACATGCGTTAGAGAGGGAAGTTTTAGCCTGCTAGTGTAGCTTAGCTTTGTTTGCTACATACAATATAGCCAGAGAAATTGGAGAGAGTCTCAAGGCAGGTGCTTCTTTAAAAAAAATATATATATATTTTAAGGGCAAATTAAAAGCATTCTCCCTTGTCAGCTTGAGTTAGTATGTTTGGAAAACATGTGGGGACTTCTTTTTCAACAAAATGCTTGGTCAGTACCTGGCCTTTGTCCTCAGTAATGCTTTCTGTATAAGGTGTCTATTATATTACTCATTAAGCTACAATAGTAAAAGTTCTGTAATGCAGTTATTAAAGGATATAAAACTTTATGGTATTAATATACAATGTTCACATTATGAACATTAATGCATATATTAAAAGCCTCTAACACATTTACCAGGACAGGTAACTGTATAAAAACTTGGATATAGACTTATAAAACTTAGATTTGGGTAACATTAAAAAAGAAAGGACAAAAGGCTCTACATATTATTGGCTAATCAAATCAGTCAGTGTGTTATTTTATAATTAAAATGCTTGTGAAGATTTAGGAAAAATCCTAAAAAAAAAATGAATCATGAGAATCTTAAAATCAGAGGCATGGTAACAACACAAATTTGCTTAGGATTTTCCCTACTTCATCTAAATAATAAGAATACATTATCCTAGCTCTGCCATACCTGCCTCCCACACCTAGCAACCTTACAAATACCAACTTTCATTGTAACTGTGAGGTGAAGTTAAAGTCTAGGCAAACCAGATATTCTGCTGTAGGTGTTTTCCAAACTACGGCAGTGTCCCAAACCGGTGACGTTACAGAGACAGATTCAGAGCCAAAACTAGGAGGGAACTGGGCCACTGACACCTAGAGGAGGCATGAGCTCTGGATATTAGTTACTTCGGGCCGGGACCGGTTTGGCTCAGTGGATAGAGTGTCAGCCTGTGGACTAAAGGGTCCCGGTTCAATTCTGGTCCAGGTCACATGCCTGGTTTGCAGGTTTGATCTCCAGTAAAGGATGTGCAATGTAGGAGGCAGCTGATCAGTGGTTCTCTCTCATCACTGATGTTTCTATCGCTCTCTCCTCCCTCCTTGAAATCAATAAAAAATATTAAAAAATAAGACATTTTAAAATAAGAATTTTTGTATATGTATTTTCTTTAGGGTAATCAGAAATCCAGTTATATAATGAGGAAAAAAAATCTATCCATTCACAATTGTACTCAGCGAGGCAAATGACTTTGAGATTATATCTTAGTAGAAATAGGCAACATTGTTATTTTTAATAAGGAAGTAATAAAGTATTAAAAATAAGAGGAAGGAAATTAAAGACATACGTGGTAGCTGGTTTCATTTATTCCCCATTCTCACAAGTGATAGACAAAATATTTTAAAGACTGTTAATACAAATGAAAATGTCTAGCTGGAAAAGTTATGCTGAAGTTAAGAAAATGTAAACCAAGTTAAGTTCACTGTTCATTAAGTTCATTAATCTAAAAAGTATTTGGGCCTCTGTGTACTAACCAGACCCTGTTTTAGGAGGTGGGGATGCAGCAGTGGAAGAATAGATCAAAAGACAACACTCTCCTGCCTACTTGGAATTTATATTCTTTGAAGTCAGATAAAAATAAAAATAAGTAAAATGGTGTGTTAGAGTGGGGAGAAAACGAGGCACAGGGAAGTGAGATTTAGTGAACACATTTCTTCTCTGTTTGAATTGGTGTAGGTGAGGAACAGGAATTTTAGACTTACAGTTAGCCCTTGAACAAGGTGGGGGGTGGGGGCTCTGACCCCAGCCCAGAGGAAAAACCGAACTTCAGTCTTCCCTCCATATTTGAGGGGGATTGGTTGCAGGACCACTGCCCATACTAAATCCAGGTATAGGTTATTATATAAAATGGGCAAGGTCATTGTATAAAATGTCATGGAACAACATATGCGGCCGGTCTTATGCCTGCCCGGATTCTCAATCCCGGATGGAAAGCCCTGGTTGGTTGAATCTTGGGGGGCTAAACTCTTGTAGGGAGAGCAGACTAGATATTCATTGGGGGGTAATTTTAGTACCAGTGGACCACACAGTTCAAACTTCTGTTGTTCCATCAGCTGTCCTTGACTTTGCCCTGATGGATTATGTGTTCTTGGGCAAATTGCTCTCCATGCCACAATTTTCACATTTATAAAAACTAATAGGCCAAAATAGTAGCCATTCTTATTCTTTTGCTACTGTCATTTAGCAGACACTGTTACCTCACTAGCTCTTTACTCACAAGGACCCCATTGGACATGAGCAAGCTGAGTCAACGTCTGCCTGGTGCTGGCCCTGACCATTGGGTAGTGCCTCTCCCTGTGTAGGCTCCGAGGGTCCTACCAGCCTGTGAATTTGGGGTCATCATAAGGGTTAGGCAGGGTCCTCCCGCAGAGATGCCCGCCTTCCCCTGTCACCAGCAGCACGGGGACGCGGAGACACCTGCGCTCCCATTACGCGCACTCACCACTGCCCGGCGCTGGCGGTAGAGGTGCGGCGGGGGTGGGGTGCAGAAGAAGGGGGTGCAGACTGGGAGGGTGGGTGGGGCCGGGCGACTACCAGTCCCAGCATTCCGTGGGCGCTCCCCTCCCCTCCCCGCGGAGCTGCCCTCACGTGGGCGGGGCCGGCGTCACTCTCTCCGGCCGCGGCCGTGTCCGAGGCAGCAGCCCGCTCCGCGGACCCGCACACCGGAAGGGCTCCCCTGACATTGACCAAAGACGACTTAGGACTCCGCCAGAACTGGTAAGTGAATAAAATGCGTATACGACTTCCCCACGTTTTAATATTGGATCCGATCGATGTCTTTTTGAAAGATCTTTCCGAAACGATCCTTCCCCACCCCCACCGGCATACCGCAAACATCTTAACACGAAGCAGGTAAGGGAGTATTTTTGTGTTGGAGTTAAAAAAGAAAAAAAGAGAGAGAAACGATCTTAAATACCGAACGGGATCAGGGGGGGACACGCGTTTGGGTTGGACTTTGGGGCCAGCAGAATTCCTTGTGGCCCAAAGTGCAAACGGGAAGCCTACCTGTGCGGGGCCGGCCGCCCCTGCCCTCCCGGCTTTCCCACCGCGATCCTTAGGAGAGGGCAGCCCGCTCCCCTCTCTGAACCGCAGGGCTGCCAACAGGGCAGAGTGTGAAGCTGTAGTAAGACCCTACCGTTACCGTTTTGCTGACATGTTATGTCTTCCCAGTTGTATTTCGCAGCCAATGAGGAGGTTTACCTCTTTCTTCTCTCCTTCAAGAAAGTATCTAGTACTCTCCATTTTGCGTTCGACTTTATACACAAACACAGAAATGAGTGCTCTTAACCTGATTCAACTTTTTTTTTTTTTTTTTTTGGTTTCAGTTTTACCTGTCTAGGTTTTAAAACCTTTTATTCCGGATCTGTATGATATTTTCTCTCTCTCTCTCTCTCTCTCTCTCTCTCTCTCTCTCTCTCTCTCTCTCTCTCTCTCTCTCTCTCTCCCCCCCCTCACCTGAGGATATTTTTGATTTTTACAGAGAGTGGAAGGGAGGGGCAGAGATAGAGAAACAAAAATGAATGTGAGAGAGACATGGATTGGTTGCCTACCGCAGGCGCTCAGACCAGGCCGTGGATCCAGACTACAACCAGGTAGGAGCCCTAGACCTAAATGGCACCCGAGACTCTTCAGT